CTTTGGTGGTACGCACAACCTCGCTTACCATCAACATCCCTGCAGACGGATGGTTCTGTCTGTTTAAATCTAACGTCTCATTTTCTCTGAATCAGGCGCAGGCTTCAACACCGAGTATCCCGTGGAAAAGCTCTTCCGAGACAGCAAGATCTTCGAGCTATACGAAGGTCCGTCTCGCATCGCTCTGCCCTACCTTGCACGCAATTTACATCCCATTCCGTGATATCTAGGCACGAGCCAGATCCAGCGGATGATCATCTCTCGTAACCTCTCGCAGGTGTATCCTCCTACATAATATCGAACACTCCGCCTGGCATGTCTATGTAGTCTCCAATATCTTGGTTTATATCACCGCAATGTATTCACGGCCATATCTGATCCATGCGAACGAGTTTGTGTGTATGATGGCTGACGCATTAATGAGCCGCTACGTGTTAAGGTCAAGAAATGCGGCTGGGCGATTTTGATATGCTACGAAGTATACATGATGAGATATAGAGAATGCATTTGAGAAGTGGTGAAAGGTGAAAAGAAGCAAGCAGAGTGGGCAAACATGCTATCTCCAGCGAGTCCGCAGACTCGGAGTGCCAGCTGGAAGAAAGCTTAGTAATGGTAATGGTAGAGATAATATTGGGGGGGGGGGACGGTGAATAAACAGAATCGAGGTTAGGTTTAGAAAATCAAATCCAATCAAGAAAGAGGCGAGAAAACTGGTCAGCTAAATCGAGGTCAAAGGTGTCCGCAAGCTAATCGGCCGTTGAAGCAGCAGTGGGGATACATATATGGTGATATTGAGCAAGTGGACGCAATCGGTGCCTCGTGCATCGTCGTGTCGCAGAGGACCGGGCAAGGTTCAATGCTTGATGAGATACTCTAGTTTGTTCGTGACTTCGACGCTCGTCGGGCGGTCGTGTGGCTCTTGCGCCCACATGTGTTCAACGAGCTCGACAAGATCGGGGGACCACAGTTTCCGAAGCCCGTTCATTGGTGGCCTGAGTCGCGAAGTAAGGGATACGAAAAAGTGGCGAAGGAGCACGAGCCGAGTTGCTTACCGCTTCTTTTGTGCGCCTACAGCTTCGTAGATGGCATGTTCGTTCATACCCTGTCGTTGAACCGTTCAAAAATCAGCATCCTCCCGTAGGCTGCCACCGATTTGAAGTAGAAAAGTACGTACCTCCCACGGGTACCTCTTTGTCGGCGCATGCCACTGCAGCATCTCCCAGTAAACCACTGCACACGAGAAAACGTCGACCTTGTGGTCGTACTTGGGATGCGCGTGCCAGAGCTCGGGCGCCTGCCAGTTTACCGTCCCCACTAGACTGCGTACCATCGACCGCGTCGATTGTTTTACCTTGGCCAACCCAAAGTCCGCAATCTTTGCTGTCACTTTGGATGTGATTAGGATGTTGGAAGACTTTAGGTCGCGATGGATGACGGATGGATTGTGGTGATGGAGGTATTGGATGCCACGAGCGATGTCCAGCATGAGATTTGTCTACAAAAGGACGTCAAAGGGATCCAAGGTAACAAGAAAAAAGGGTGGACATACGACTTTTCGCAGCGAAGGTGGCGCCACATTCCGAACATAGTCGAACAAATCACCGTTGGCACAGAGTTCGCTGACCATCATCACTGGTGTATCGCGCGTGTTCTCCGGAATACTCACACCCAACTAATAGCATCGCCCGACGTGCGTTAGCAGGGCGAATGGTGGGAAACAAGAATATACGGGCAAGCTACTCACAAACCGCACCACGTTTGGATGGTCGAAATCGCGAAGCAGCTTAAGCTCCTGGAATGATGAAGGCGATCAGCAAAGAACACAGCGAACTTGCGTTCGCCCGATATACCTTGATATCCACTATCATGAATCTCCAGCGTGAGCAGTCGGCGGGGGCAAACATCTTAGGAATGACACTTACTTTGGCTCAACTGGCCTCTAAACTCGGCAATGGCAACCTTGACACGCCCACGAAGTTTGCCGACGTAGACACTAAGGCAAAACGATCAGCAAGGCACACGTCGTCTAGCGAAGCAGGTACTGACTCCTTGAAGCCACCGCTGCCAATCTTCTCCAATTTAACCAACTTATCCGATGGGATCTCCTTGTCTTCCAGCCCAAGGCTCTCCAGATCAAGCTCGAGCTCGCCCTCTCCGTCCTTTGGCTTGCTCCCCTTCCTCGGCGGAGGAGACTCGACTTTGGACAAGGGCGGTGTCACATGGACACGGTGCGAGCGCTCTAATACAGGCACGGTGTTGATGTCGTGGTTCGGCCGGGTGGTTGACGGCGGGCGAACCGTAGACACGCTGCTGAGCTGGGATGAGGACGCGGTCTCTGACTGACGATCTCGCTTTGAGATGGTAGATACTCCAGGTTAGAGACAGGAATAGGAAACAATCTCAAGGGAATGGTTCGACGCACCCAGTCCAACAACGTTTTCACAAGCTGGTTCTTCGTACCCTCGGCCTCCAGATCACGAGTTTCACATAACCGGACGAGATCGTCCCGTCGGAGCCGAGTCAGAGACTTGGCCGTCGCTTCGCTCAAATCCACGCCTATTGCGAAAGTATAAGCACCGAGACGTGCATGTATTGGGCGGAGAAGGGTACGAACCGTCTGATTCATCCATCTCTGCGTCGTCTTCTACAATTTGCACTTCCGGCTCATCTTCGTCAATTACATCCTCCGCTTCTTCCTCGTCGTCTTCCTCGCCATCATCAACGTCCATCTCGCCCTCTTCCTCATCGTTATCCTCTGGCTCCTCGGTGTCGACGTCAACATCAGCTTTGACTTTCTTCCCGTTCCTCAGGACCTTCACCTCCTTCACCTGCGAGCCTGTCGCCTCGTCGCCACCATCCTCATCTTCGTCATTATCCGAGGGTGGGGTGTAGGTTTGCGCGCTCCGGGGACGAATAGCACGCTTGGCTTGACCCTTGTTCTGTGATTTGAGCGATCCGGAGCCGGAACGAGTGCGTCGGATCTTGCGCTGGCGAGGGGTGTCTGCCTCCGGCGACCCTTCCTTTTCCTCAACTTCATCCTCCTCTTCCTCCTCGGCCTCCTCGCTCCCTTCCTCCTCCTCATCGGCCCCGTCGTCCGCTTCGTCTTCCTCCGTACTACTCTCCCTCAGAGTACCGTCCTCGGGTTTGGCCTTCCTATCAAGCTTCACCCGCTTCCGGCTCTCGCCGTCTTTGCTCCGAGAGCGCAGCCTCCGGGGACTCGGCTGCTTGGGCGGAAGTACCAGTTGAACCTCGCTGCCAGCCTCCGGCTCCTCCTCGGACTCAGCGGCAGCGCCCGCCTTGAATTCGACGTGTTTCTGCTTGCCTTTGGTTTTCGATCGCGTTTTCGGGGGAGATGGGAAGATGTTGACGCGAGGAGATGATGAGCGCGACCGGGTGGGTGTCAGAGTCGAGGCGGAGCGACGTCTGCAAAGAATGGAGATAGCCAGAGTCAGGTGACATATTCGGAATATCAAATGTAGATGGACGTACCCTAGAGCAAACGGAGTTTGCGCGGCGGCTTTAGTCCGTTTGTTATCCCCGAAGTAGCCCATGCCAAGAGAGATGCTTCGACCAGTCAGAGCAAGTGGTTTGGCGCGCGCGAGGTTGTCGGCGACGCGCCGGCGAGGGAGGCGCTTTGCGTTTCGTGCTACGCGAATAGAGGACGAAGACGAACCGCCGTCGTTGGATGATGAGGGGGATACGGGAAGCCGAGTCTTTTGTGACGTAGATGGACGCTGAAAGGGGGCGCCACATTCAGCTGAGAGATCGTGCAGAAGCGCGCTTCGGAGACATACTGTTGCAATAATGGCTTCGATCAGGTCAGGTTTGGTGAATCCTTCAACATCCTCTTCGTCCTGGTTCAAACCGGCCAGAGAGTAAAGACGGATCAACTGGTCTTTGCGCAAGCGCAGTAGTTGCCATTTGGGAGCCGCGCTGATAAGGAACTCGTCGGCTTTGAAAGGGAGTGAAAAAAGATCGACGTCAGCCAGGGCGCGGCGAAGAGAAGAGCACAACGCGTGACGCGAACGCGCGACACCCACATGAATCCAGTGATCCCTCACTTGTGGCGGCGTCTCCCTCCACCTCGTCCTCCGTCCGGTCCTCGTCATCTTCGGTGGTATTGTTCCGCTCGTCGGCGGCCACCTCGATTATCACGCTTTTCTGCCTCTTCAGCCCGCGTGACCGCGGCGCCTCGCCTCTCGAATTCTCGCCCCCGCGCTTCCTCTTCTGCCCCGTGCTGACGACGTCCATGTCGGGGATGCTGCGGGTGCGTTTTAGGCGCGAAAGCATGGCCATTGAGCTCTCGGCGACGTTGTTGATGAGGTTGACGAGCGCGGGACGTGAGTGGGCGTGTATGTGTCTGTTTGGCAACGCGTTTGGGTAAGAGCGGTCAATGTTGACTTTTGTAGCAGTGTTGGAGCGGGTGAGCGGGTGTCGTGGCAAGGGAGCGGTCGTGGCGGCTGGCCGGCGTGCTGGGGGGACCATGCGACCGAGAGCAGTGGATGGTGCGGAGTCGTCGGGCGGTGTGGAAAGAGCGGGGATGCGATGGCGCCACGGGAATCAGAGTGTCTATAGAGGTAGAAACTTGTAACTTGGAGCTTCCTTTCACAGTCAAGTGAAGCGCTCGCAGGTGCAGCTGGAGATGAGGGGGGCGGTCAAAGTCGTGCGTGGGTGAGTGCAATCGCCGTCGCCGTCGTCGTCGCTGTCGTCGGCGCGATTGGCGGTGGAATGGGAGTCGGGAAGGAGAGCGAAAGGCAGCGATTGGCCGTATGTAACTTGCTCCCGTTGACGGCTGTCTTGTCTTCTTTTGGCGCGGGAAACCCAACATCGGCTCAACACCACACACACACCCAAATACTCTCGCTTTTGCTCTCGGAATCTCAGACACGAAGTTGCGAATCAGATCTTGTATCAGTTGTAAATTTGGCATAAGCGCTGGGGTAAAAGTACGCATGTTGACACTTTTTACAAAAAAAATTCCATGGACTGAGCAAAACTTATACACCGTGCGGGAGTCGAACCCGCGCCGCGCCCTTGGGAAGGGCGCATGATACCGTTTCACCAACGGTGTTGCTATGAGACTGTCTCAGGTTTGCACCATGACTAGGTGCCGCTTCAAGCTGATTGGTATGAAATGTGATACAAAGTAAACATGTCCGCGACGTGTGCATGTCGTACATACCCCACCTGGCCAAATTATCACAGCAAGAAATATCCCGGTTGGTGAACACAAAGGCGCCATGCCCTCAAGACTTGGTCGCCGAAGCCGTCGGGAAACCACTGATGGTGATGGCCACTATGGAGGGGACGCTGGTTAGGCTAACGATGTTTGGGGCGAAGAAGCAACTCACCTCCGGCGCACAGCTGATCGAGGAGCGCGACGTCTCCGTTTTGCTCAGCCGCAGAACAATTGGCGTCAATGCAAGAGCCAGCGTCGTTGATGAAGGTAGGACTGCACAGTTAGGAGTATGTATAAGAACCCAAGCATGTGAGCCAAGGATGCCCAGCGTACCTGTTGCACACGCATTTCGTATCATATCTACGTAAGGGCAATGAGAAAAGGTGCTAGATTCGACCAAACGGGGTGGCTCACGGGCCACAGCAGCCGGCCAAGAGAGACGCGGCATTGGCACAGTTGAACGTGCATATCGGAGGGTTCAAGCCTGTGGGCTTCGGCGGGAAAGAGGTGCACGTCGAAGGGAACGCCGTAGGTGTGGCAGCCGTCTGCGCGGAGACGAGTGCGAGTGATGAAAGGAGGAGAGCGACGACGGAAAACATCATATCGAGGAGGTAGAGCGGCCGAAGTTGATCGTGTTCAAGCTTGAGAGCGAGCGGGGGATGTGGATTGGTCGAACGCAAAACACCAAGCAGTATTTATGGAGAAAGTCGAAGTCTAGATTTACCCAACGCCGGGTTAGCTCACGCACGAGTGCTACACTCTAGAACGACCGAATTACTCGCGCCAGGTAAGTAAAGCACAGGCCCGTGCGGCGCGCAGTCGTGTGATGATAAACTTGTCGAGAAAGCTTTACCCTTGGTCGGAAAAATCGCAGTTCGCCTCGAGATGCCCTTGCCCAGGCCGCATGCAATATTCGTCTTGGCATCTACCTTGGCGGCTAGAGACGGGAATTGCATATGAGACACCGAGAGCACCGTGGCATCTCTTCACGTCGCCGATATCTCCGCTGGACCTCCCACCCCCTTCACAAGCCAATCTGTGCAAGTGACTGAAATTCCAAAGCAAAAGCACAGTGAGCACGGGACCACCGATCTGTTGGGCGCCTATGTAAAGATTGCCGCGCTCGTAGTGAGCTGGCTGCGCAGTAGGTGCTAGCACCAATTACTCCGTACTCTTTGGCACAGCTGTGCATCTGGCGGCGATCGAAGATTCAAGGTCTGCAAGCTTGAGTCCTGGACTAACCAGAAACCGGAAAAGCAGTAGTACCAGTGAGCAATGAGCGGCTAACCAAGCTGTAATGTAAGTATATTGAATGCCTTGAGGTAAATAAAGTCGCCATAAGCGTTGAGTCCACAGCCGCCTTATGTAATTCCAGCCTTGCGCACGGTCCACCCAGCTTGATATAAATTCCAGGCCTGAGTGGAAATTTTTACTCATCGCAACCTCTATAGACAGTGCCCATCCTTTGCATTCATCACATTGGTTTTGGGTGATTCGGTTCTGCGCAGAAGGACGACGCGGCCGGGTATAAAGAACTCGCAGTCTCCCTTTCCTACGGAGGCGTGGGTGTCAGACCTTTCCTACATCATTTTGTCATCAGAAAAAATTGTATGTGCTCACAGCATCGGGCTTTCGTAAGAAGGAATAAATCGTGTTTGTTATCTGCCTCTTTTTGAAAGCACCTCGACGAAATGAACGAGACCAGAGTGGAAGAGGCACCGCCAGCGGACTCGCGCGGTATCGACGAAATTCTCGCCGAGGCACGAACTCGTATCCAGCGTGTCAACCCGTCCACGGCGCACCACGAACATGCAGAATCCGGGGCGATCCTCGTTGACATTCGTCCAGAGGCCCAACGCCTCGCCAAAGGGATGATCCCAGACGCGCTCATCATCGAGCGAAACGTCCTCGAGTGGCGCTTCGACCCGCGGTGCGAGGCGCGGTTGCCTATTGCGAATACGTACGGCCTGCGAGTTATTGTGTTCTGCCAGGAGGGCTACACGTCGTCCCTCGCTGCGGCGTCGTTGCAAGATTTGGGGTTGGCTAGGGCTACGGACATGGAGGGCGGCTTCAAAGCCTGGAGGGATGCGGGGTTGCCGACCGTTGGCGTGCCAGAGGGCTCTTGATCTTCTTTCTTTTTGGAGTTATTTTCCTGTAGCTCATAAAGCCTTGTATTGATGTACGTGAGAAATAAAAACGAGGAGTGGATTCCGTCTAACGTTAGGAGATTGCGGCGTTGAGTCATGGGTCGTGTGACTGTGAGGAGCCCACCACCATCGCGTCGAGCTCGCGACTTCATCTCACGAAGGCAGCTTTCTTTCGCTGGCGACAACGTCTGCGTCTACGTAGATGCGACCGTACTTTAACCTGGGACAACTATCCTTGAGAATATAGGATCGCACACCTGAGAAAGTTATTTACATCGACCACTAAGACGTCTTCGAGCATGTTAAGAAGGAGCGCTCTTCCACCACGGACTTGGCTGCCGAGAGGTCTTTCTCGATGTCGTCCATTGCATTCTCCACCACCAGACCGAACATCGCCAGAAGTAATCAGTCTGCTCGACACGTATTCCCGCTTGCCGCCTCGCCCTGTCCCACTATCCACGCTTCTCTCCTTTGGTTCTCCCCTCTCCCCCGAATCCTTGCTCGACTCCGCGTCGTATGTCCTTCATGAGCTCCCGCGAAGACTGGTGCACCGAGTACACTCGTTTGACTCCCTTCCCTACATCGTGGGCACCAATCCTTTCATCGCACGCACACGGCAGCAATATCGCTCTAGTTTCATCGCGCTCGCATCCCAATCCTCTGTGGACACGCTAGAGGATAACTGGGCCTTCTCGCAGAAGCTGGAGGAGCTTGTGAAAATTCACGCAAACGACATCCCTGCGATGGCCAAGGGGTGCGTCTCCCATAATTATTCCAGCGCAATATTGCTACTACAATTCTCATAAACATATATGATAAAATTAATGATAGATTTTTAGAAAGCACACGCTACATGGCGCCCGCAGATATCTCCAAATTTCTCGATGCCGCAATCCAGAGCCGTATTGCTATACGGCTGATTGCCGAACAACATATTTCCCTATCACGAGCCCTCCGTGATCCTAGCTCGGTCTCCCACAACATCGGCGTTGTGAATCCAAATTGTTCGCCCGCAGAAGTGATTCGGATGTGCGCATCTTTTGTTGGAGAGCTGTGCGAGGCGACGTTAGGATCGAGACCAGAGCTGATTGTTGAAGGCGTGAAGGATGCCACGTTCCCGTAAGAAATGCATTTATTTATTCATAGTTTTAGCTATTGAAGCTAATCTCCATCACATTTCTCATCCATGGAAGTTACGTCTCCGTTCATCTAGAATACATTCTCACCGAAATCTTCAAAAACGCATTCCGCGCTACGGTAGAACATCATCGCGCCCAAAAGTCTACTGGCCCCCTACCGCCAATAACAATAACCATCTCTCCATCCCCATGCTTCCTTTCCCTCCGCGTCCGCGACGAGGGCGGGGGCGTACCGCGCAACAATATGGAACGTATCTTTTCATACGCATTCACCACCGCCGGGCGCTCTGCGAAGGGCGATAGCAATGACGACGACGGGGGTCCGTACGCCGCGCAGCATATCGGGGGGAGCGCCGCACTCGGCACTGGCCTAGACAGCATGGAGTCGGGCGATGGGGGGTTGTTTGGTGAGATCACGGGTAAGGCGCTCCAAACGGGCTTGGGTACGATCGCGGGTCTAGGATACGGGTGAGCCCTTATTATATATCCACCTCATGAGTCTGTTACTAAGGCCTTGAATTAAACGCAGCTTACCGCTGGCTCGGCGCTACGCGAGCTATTTCGGTGGGAGCTTGGAGCTCGTGTCGCTGTACGGGCACGGTGCGGATGTTTTCATCAAGCTCAGATCCCTGGACAGAGGGGCGGACGTGGAGATATGATAATCTGATTTCGGTGGTACCCAAGTACCACATACCAAGTATCAAGTATCGCAGACCATTCGGTGCGCGCTGGCACACTAGACGTGTAGTTATCTAATTTATCCATCTCCAAAAGCGGTGTGCAATGGAACTTGGCTTTTTCAGGATGGTTGTGGTGTGCGGATGGCATTGGCCTCGTGAAGGTAGCTTCACGAGCCAGCAATACTTGTCCTTTTTCTTGGCGGAAGCGGTGTCTTTCAGACCTGCTTTGGCCTTATGTAGCTTACGGCCGTTTATGTCGTGGACGATTTTGTTCCAAGACGTTCGCTAAGCTGGTCAAAGAGCATCAAGTGCTGGCGCTACGTTATGTATCTTCCTTTGCTCATTCACACCGCATTGCAGGGCTTGACTTTCCCGTTTTCAGACTCGAATCTATAATTGGCATACCTGTTCAAGCTGATATGAGCGTTTAAAAAACGGGCGGTGTCTCGGCAGATATATGTAATAGGCTTGGTGCGTGACATGGCGCCCTCCCGACGCACTGTGCCCCCTGCCTGGCGGGTCTGCGACCCTCACATTGATCGTCCGAATATCTCTGCCTTCTCTTCATCACCTGCGCATATACATACAAACCCCTTCTGTTCAGCACCAGCGCTCGTTCCTCTTCCTATCGCCCGCCTCAGCGCCCCCCGCAATCGATCCTGGCATAGTCTCTCTATCCCGACATGCCGCCCAACAGTACGGTGCGCACAAAGAGCGCCCCGAGTTACTACCCTTATAGGCGTAGCGAAGAGACCGCTGTCGCTCCCCAGCAGTCCCACAACACGAGGGGACCTGAAGAGCCTGAACAAGGCTGCACGGCCCCGCCGAGCATGGTGGAGGTACTCACGGAGATCGACGCATTTCTCTCCGCGATTGGCGCGAGCGCGTGGAGGGACTGTGCGCGCCTTCTAGTTCTCACCAACATG